CAATCTAGCTGTGGCTTATAAAAACATTGATGAAATCTTGCATCTACAGTTGGTATTCAAATGACATTCTATATTTATTTGGGTATCACATAGGTAATCAGTGTGTAAACCTAGACTAGAATCTTCCGTTAGAACTTTGATATTACCTTATTGGAAAGAATGTCTAGAATCGAATTCAAACCAACTACGCACTTAATGTATAGTTGGTAAGGGCTATATCATTAAATATTATGAGTATAGTTGGTAAGGGTTATAATTGAACTTATAATCTATTTGGAGGGTTTCTAAGCATAAATATTAAATACTACTAGGGTGTAAATGGACCGCAATTTCATTGAGGTTTCAAGCTCAAATTGCTTTAGGTCTAATTGGCTCGAGCTCATGAAATAAGAAACTCGAGCGGATGAAATCCGATTTTTAGATAGAATTTTTTTCAAAATGAAAGTCGGTAAAATCACATTCCAAGCGCAAAAACTTAACCAAAATGTAAATAGATCTCATCTTCTCGTGTTTTTGTTTTCTCAGATATTGTGTGTCATTACTAAGGGTGTAAACGAGTTGAACTGAGCTTGAGCTCAAGCCTTTAATGAGTAACGAGCTTATAATCGGGTACAAGCTCGAACCTTAACGAGTAAAAATCGAGTCGAATTATATAAAAATACATAATAAACATTTTTTCGAGCTTTATCATAGGCGAGTCAAGTCGAATTTGAGACTTAACGAGTTGAGCTCACAAGCGACTCGTTTAATTTAACAGTCACTAGGCCTCCTAAGATGAATAAAAAATACATCATTCTTTTGAGAATATTTCATGCAGAAAGTTATTGGGGACCTGAAGAAGCTTCATTTTTGTCATGAATTGTTAAATAACGATTTCACTATTTTGGTTTAGATCTATCAGTAGATAAAGTACGTTTTGGTATTATAATAGAGAAATGCATAAATAACACTTATAATGAGTTGGGGTGCCTTAATGTACCAAATTAATTTAGAAATAATCAAGTGTTATGTGAAATTAACCAAACTGACCCTAAGTGAAATTTTTCCCGCACTAATGAAATATTTCCCGCTCTTAAGACCACGTTAGTGGTAATTCAGGCCCGCAGCTGAGACCACGTCAGCAAAAAGCGTGTCGATAATAAAAGTGAAACGACGTCGTCATTTTGGTCGCCTCCAGGCTGACAGGCTCTATCTTCATCCTCCCAAGATGACTATTCAAACCTCAGTGAAAAACCCTCATTCGAATTTGTGGCGGCAGAATTAATAATTCTAATTTCTCTTTCCTCAACTCACGAAATCTATAAGATCGGTCGCAGTTTCAACCCTAGTTGCCTTTTCGATTGTGACTAAATGGCGGAAAAAGAAGGAGAAAAACAGGAGATCGAGGAGCAGTTGGAGCTCGCCATTTGCGCTCGCCTTCAGCATTTCAAAGACCAGGCTGAGTATGTAGCTATATAGTATGTGTTCTTAGTAGTTATATGCATGTGCAACAATTTGTCGCTTTGCGCCTGGATTATTTTCTCTTTTTGTTTCAATCCTTTTGTAACTCTCTCTTGATGTATGTTGTGGATGACACCCACAGTTCATTGACGATGGAATCTGTAAGGAGACTCCTAGAGAAGGATTTGGGACTTGAGAAACTTGCGCTGGATGCACACAAGAGATTCATTCGGCAGTACTTGGAAAAGGTTTGCTTTTACTAAACCTAACTGTTTCGTTTTGGACTCCTTGTATTAAAATGTTGCAGATTTTTTACACCCAATTATGATCCTACTTTCAATAGTTTCTTCTGGAGACATACTGCAGACACCCTGTTCAAGCTGAACTAAACTGGGGGCTTGCTCATTGGTGAAATTTGCATTCATCTGTAACTTATTGCAACTAACTGCTTGCTTCAGTTTCACTTGTTCCAAACCTTTAGTACTCCATGGGATGGGATATACTTTTTGATGTATCAAGGTGCTTTCTAAGGAGTGATTTCTGTTGCATGTTTAAGTTTGTTCTGACCACTTAGATAATTATAAATGATGTCAGAGTATCGATTTACTCGAGATTGTAACTAAGCAGTTTGATAGATGAATACACCAGCCAACTGAACTGAACGCAATAGATTATGGATTTGTTTTCAAGCTTCTGTACTTTTTAAATTTATGTTGCCATGCCCAACCTTCTTAGTTCTTATCTCCTACTCAATAAGAAGAAATAAATTAAATTGAAATGGGATGTAATTTTGATAGAATGCTAAAGTTATCTAAAATCATATTGATCTGTCGTGTCTTATACACCTTTTTGTTATTGAAATGTGTGTGAACCATCCTGAAACGAAAATTGTGCAGAGAGATACAACAAAAGGTTGCTTATCTTTATTTAGTTTTTCCTTGTTTTGACTCTTCAATTACATGTATCCTGAAGAAAACGATCCATTCTCTGTGTGCACATTTTAGCACCTGAGATTATAATGAATATTTGTCTGATACTACTTATGGAACAATAAATACATTCTCTCTGGCCCTCGAACTTATTGCAACTCTTTCAACCCTTCTATGATATGACTAACATATGAGATACAGACCGAAGACAACATTTAATCGAAGTATGGTTCGTCCATCTTGCTTTATCTTTTGAAATGAAATTATATGCGCACCATGGATGACTATGGCCTTTTGTTTTTCCCAATCATAGGTTAGTTAGCTGCAGAATCATATTTGGGTTACCTTATGAGACACATCATAAACAAGATATTGTTGTCACCTTAAGGCTTAGAGGTTTTTTTGGTGTTAGTCTTAATAGCGACCTATTTTAGGTGAATAATGTAATCTCATTAGTTGTTAGATTTAACAGCTGTCAGAAGTTATTTAATATCGTGTGACATCTATTCCAATTGCAGAAAATAAGTGATGGCGATGAATGCAAATCTGAAACACCTACTGAAGATGCCGACAACGATATCAGTAAAGCAACAGTGTTACCCAACCAGCATGAGAAAACAATAACTCCAAAAACGTCTAGCAATGGAGATGAGGAAACAAATGAAGGCTCCCCTATAATGGGTGTCTTAAGCCCAAAATCTGAAGTTGCTACTCCGGGGTCATCTATAAGTGAGGACAGTATCAAGAAGGCAATTTTGGAAAGGGCTGATCACTTTGAATCTAATTCTGGGTATGCAATTTGATTTGATGTATTGATTTTCTTCTGTTTCTTGATAGTCGAAATTATTACTTGCCTCAGAAAATGCAATGCTAAAACTGTGTCCGCAATATTCAGAGCTTATTCATCTTACCAACTTCTCACTAGGATATGACCCTCGGCATGTTTCACATTATAACTAGCTACTTATTTTAGTTGCTCTTTATTTCAGGAACATAACTTTGGCAGGAGTTCGCCGACTTCTAGAGCAGGATCTTGGACTAGAGAAAAACGCACTTGACCCTTTCAAAAAGTTTATAGGTCAACAAATAGATCAGGTAGAAACAAGATTTTGTACTCCTGATTTCTGAAATATTATCTATGGCCAATTGTATTGACTTAATGCTATCTAGGTACTCAATCCACCTAAGCAAGCTAAATCTGTGAAAGATGTCAATAAGAAAGTCTCTGGTAACTCAAAAGTTAAAAAGTCAGTAACTGTCAGCAGTGAAGAAGAGTCCGACTCTTCAGACAGTGAAAGTGATGAGATGGAAGTTAAAGCACGGCCGAAAAAGGAAGCTGATTTTAAAGGAAAAACTAAGAAAGTGGAACAGTCGAAGAAACGGAAATTATCTAAGGAGAGTGATCATAGTGTTTCTGGAAAAAAGCAGATCAAGGTTGCAAAGAGGAAAACCGAAGAAGAAAATAATAGCGATGAGGATGGAAGCCTGTCTGAAGACAGTCAATCTCGATCATCTGTGGAAAGAAGATCAGTACAGGTTTGTCACTTCAAATCGTGCAACTTATATATATCTGTAGTAGTATGTGGTCTCACAGGAGTCCTTTGCGGATTTATACTTAAAAATATAGCATTTTGACTACAGAGGAAAGAAAAGGCAGCTTCTGGATATGGCAAAAAGGTGGAGAATCTGAAGTCAATAATCAAGGCGTGTGGAATGAGGTTTGTTAAGATGCTTGGCCTTTTCATGTCCCCTAATTTGATAGTTATTACTGTTTACCTTCTAATTTTGTCTTACTGGGCAGTGTTGCTCCGTCAGTCTACAAGAAAGCTAAACAAGTACCAGAGGAAGAACGTGAAGGCTTTATAGTGAAGGAATTAGAAGGTATCCTCACAAGAGAAGGGTTATCCAAGAATCCTACTGAGAAAGGTACAGTTTATCACCTTTCTTCCAACACGGTCTAATATGAAAAAATATGTGTAGGTCCTTATCCCCAAATGGGAGGTCATATGCTGTAGAGATTTTCAACATCATAAAGTAATTGGAAAATTGTCCAGAGTTACATGAATGCAAATCAACAGAGAAAGTAAAGAAGTTATTGATCCTATAGTAGTATGGGAGCCTAGTTTCTATCTAGTGTCTGGCCTGCCTACTGAATTGTGAGTGTGAACATACATTTTCTAGAAAACCGTGTAGATGAGAATGACTTTTGGAAAATAAATACCTCCTCCAGGTGAAGTGCTAATCTTCTAGTCTACAAAGTTTGTTTTCTCAAAGACCTTGAAAGCGAATTTGGTTAATTATATGGCATGTCAGCTTCCTGTGGCTCTGTATTGTTGACTATGCAAGTGAAGTCTTAGCTATATCTTGTTTGGGTGCTGACTGATTCCATTAAGGTGAAGTGCTAATCTTCTAGTCTACAAAGTTTGTTTTCTCAAAGACCTTGAAAGCGAATTTGGTTAATTATATGGCATGTCAGCTTCCTGTGGCTCTGTATTGTTGACTATGCAAGTGAAGTCTTAGCTATATCTAGTTTGGGTGCTGACTGATTCCATTAAGTTGATGCTTACAGAAATCAAGGACTGTAAAAAGAGAAAGGACAGAGCCAAAGAGCTTGAAGGCATTGACACGAGCAACATTATATCCAGCTCACGAAGAAGGTCAACTTTTAGTTTCACGCCTCCTGTGACACCCACGACTCATGCTAAAAAAGACAAGGTTGATGCAAAAGATACTAAGAAGAAAGCAAAAAATTATAAAGATAATAAGGATGACAATGAACAAGAGGAGGATAAGAAGGAAGAGGAGGAGGAAGAGGAGACAAAGGAGAAGGATCACGACGAGGATGATGAGGTGGAAGAAGATGATGATGAGGAAGATGATGAGGAGGAAGAAGAAGATGAAAGTGATGAATTCAATGAAGGTAAGGAAAAAAAAATTGATGAGTTGAGGTTTGACTACCATATATACATAAATTCATATGTACATGTCTTCCCCCTTGTTGTAATTCCTTGTAAGCTTATATTATGTTTTAACCCCTTCGAATTGGGCATGAAAAGTGCGTTGTGATTCAATTTCTGATTGTCTTGCACAGTAAAATAGATACCAGACATGGGTACTTTATCTGATATTCACTCGTTTCTTGCAGATGATAATGAAGACAGTGATTGAATTATGAATATCAGGCATGGAGATGGATGTATCTATTCTTTAAGGTTGTAGTACAATTACAGAAAGAAGCAATTTGGCATCACTAATTTCTGTACCTTTAGTCATTCTACTTTATTATTAGGTAAGGGTCACTATTTGAAGTTGGAATATTTATAGCCTCTCTATAAAGACCATACTCATCTAGTGATACTATGATGCGACTTGGAGGAAGAACCGAGTTAAAGAATGCTGCTTTATATAGTGTCGGTTTTTAAGTAGGATTGGCGTTACCATTTGTGTGGTATTAATACGCATGTGCTTGTGCAGAATAGTTTTGTTTCCTGGTGGAGATCAGCTTTGGTTTCTTGATGTACTAATTGTTTTGCTATTCTTGGATATTTATTGCATATGTTTTAGAAGACTTGGTTAAGAACTTGTGCCAATGCAAGCTGCATTGGTAGTTTGAAGGTGATGTTCTATTCTGGAGCACAAGAAAAGAATAATTATTGCTTTTTATTTTTTCTTTTTCTTTTGGGGGGTGCGTCATGCGTGTCTGTGTGTGTGTTTTGGGCCTTGGAAAAAGACAAGCGATGCCATAGGAATTTCGGGGTCTTCAACTTATACTTCACTCTTTTTTATGCATGTTCCTAATTGGACCTTAAGGAACACCTGAAAATTGTTGGGTCAATGTACTTGGTGCATCGTGTGACCGATTTTTGGGTAGATACAGAATTAAATTAAGGGATATTATATTATTATTATTACTATCATTCAACAATTGTACATGGAATTCTGTATGGATTAAGGGTATATTGAGATATTTATTTCTATTCAGTTAGACTATGTTTTGACCATCGAGCCAAGTGTTAGCTCGGTCTCAATCAGGTCATAATAAAATCCACCGCGGTATTCACTATTCAGTTAGAATTGACCTATGTTTTACTCTACGTTACTAGAGTCAATTTGGCCCGTGGCCCGAGGGTCGGCCCGCCCCGCCCCGCGAAAGGGGCGGTTTGGGCCGGGATTTTCTAGGCCCGCTGGGGAGCGGGCCTAAACGGGCCAGCCCGCGCGGGCCGCGGGTTCTGATAGCCCCGAAGAGGAGATTAGGCCGATCCCTCAGCCTTATCTGCTCCCAAGCCGAGGCAGTAGAAAACACACCTGATGATGTAAGTCTCCACCTCATGCTATCTGAACCGTCCCCCGAGATAGGGATCTGCTGGATCTGATTTAATAACTGCTCGCTAAAACNGGGGGGGCCGGTTGGGCCGGCATTTCATAGGCCCGCCAGGATGGCGGGCTGGCCCGCCCCGCCCCGCCGAAAGGCGGGCTTCGGCGGGCTACGGGCCGGCCCGTTTTGACATCTCTATACGTGACCTATGTTTTACTCTACGTGATTTATGGTAGTCCATCAACATCAACACTCCATTATTAGAGGAATTTACACCCTATACTAATATATTTAATTTATATAACACTTTTGTATCCCTCTTATTTTTATTTACTAGTATGTGGCCCGTGCGATGCACGGGTAAATAATATTAGATAATAATTATAAATTGACGATATAGGTATATAATATGTAATCGTTTAGAATTTTGAGTGCCACTTTGACATTTTTTTAAATTTGAGACTTTTAAGATGATCAAATTTTAGAGGCATACTATGAAATCTTAAGTGTGAATGTGAAATCTAAAACGAAATTTTGTATAATGTTTTTTTTCTTTTAAATCATAACTAATCTTAAAAAGACCTAACAAATCTTGATCTCATAAATATTTAAGGATATTTTAAGATTGTTTTAATTTTTATATATCTAAGATGAACCGCTTTTGTTACCAAAAAATGTGGACACAATTTTGAAGGTACATCCCCTCCAAATATCAGTTTTATTATAAAATAAAAATTGCACGTGGTTTTATCCAATTTACACACTTTTTTTTTCAAAGAAAAAATTATTCAATAAGATTAGAATAATTGGTTAAGAATTATACAACTATTTGTTTCCAAAATTTGTATTCGATTTGTACGGTTTTTAAGTTAATTTGTATTAGAATTGTTTTCATAAATAATTGACACATTTTTTGGATAAGAATCTCCAAATTTGTTACCAAAAAATATATGACTTAAATTTTAGTAAAAAAAATAAAATACGATACAAAAAAAATAGAATTTAAATTTTGCCATAAGAATCTCCAATTTAGTTACAAACAAATAGGATTCAGATTTTGTTACTAAAGATTCACATGTATTTTTTTGAACTTTCCATTAATAGTAAGTCAAACATTATATTTATTTGGTCAAACTTTCTATTAATGTATTTTTCCAACAACCTCTTTATATATATATAGATAAAATAACCTAAACAACCACAAAATATTGCAACTATACGTAATATGGTGCAAATTCCCTTGAACGGTTATGTAGCAATTTTCGAGTAAATTAAATACTTGATATCAATCATTGAGATTCACTTATCAAATATTTAGGAAGAATTAATTATATCTCTCTGTAAAAACAACACCCGCCCACGTTCACCATCTCTCCCTCTTTCCAAAAATCTTAATTTCTTTTCCTCTATTTCCCGAATGAAGAAAAGGTCTCCGGCGGACGCAACCCGCAGCCGGCACGGCTAACTTTGAATCATAGCTAAAGTCACAAATATGTAAGCTTCTAGTCTTCTACTTCTAATCGTCTACCACCAATTGCCTTGATGACTAAATCCCAAGTCCCTTCTGAAAGTTTTATTTTGGTGTAATGGCGTATGATGATAGCTTGAGAGGCTAAAGGATTTGAGAGGATATCATTTGATAGACAAGTTTGAAGTCATCTGAGGATTTTTTGAATTCAAATTCTTCAATATGTTAGGGATGGTTGCTTACTTGATATTGTGAAGTTTGTGTAGAAATTGATTAAGTACTTTTGTATCTTCTGTGAATCCAGATATCTGTATTTGATGTATATTTATGTTTGTAGGATAATTAATTTTGAAAGAATTATCTGTAAAATATTATGGTGCAAATAAAGAATGGTCCTTTAGTAAAATGCCAAACTGCAAATTTTTTTTTTTGAAAAATATATCAAATTCTCAAAATGCCCTTAAAAATCAGCCTTTTTAGTTAAAACCATTTTTTTATCCGGTATAGGGGGCAATTTGACAAACCCGTATAGTTCAGGTGGTGGTTTGTAAAAAAAATAGTTGATATGGTGATGCGTCAAAATCGTCATAGTTCGGATGGGAAAAAGTTTTTTTCCCACGATTTTATATTAAGTAATCTGTTATAATATGTTTTTAAACTATATATATACTTTTATGTATAAAAGAAAAAAAAAAGAGGAAGATACAATTTTTGATGGAAGACATTTTTTTCATTGCAACATATACTCAATATATACTTACATAAACGCAATATATACCAGCCACGTGAATTAAGGAATTCCAGTTGCGCACATATATTGAATATATACTAACATAAACTCAATATATACCACCTGAGAGTTACTTGAATTAAGGAATTCCAGTTGCGCACATATACTGAATATATACTAACATAAACTCAATATATACCACCTGAGAGCTGCGTGAATTAAAGAATTCCAGTTGCGGGAATTAAGAAATTAAATGAGTAAATCACGCCACCAAAGAATAACTGATATGGATAGAGGACGTTACAACAAGTAACTGATATTTAGGCAATCACGTAAATAAAATAGCTTGATTAGGTATATATCCTATTAATTGTTCTAGGAAGATAAAATTGAAAATTCTTTTATTTCATGTAGTATGTGTAAAAATTTCCCATTAGAGTTCCACGAGTATGACACCTGTGTATGACATGGGTGCATCAAAAAATAATTGGAAAAAAAAAATAAAAAAGTTTAGCATTGTATTATATGCAAAATAAATAAATGGAAGAAATCATGTTAGAATATGGTGTTAAAATATTTCAATCCATGCGAGCCTAGGCTCAACACATTTTGAATAATATATAAGGAAATTTTTTTTTTGCTTAACCAAGAAATAAAATCAAGAAATTTAATCTTATTATATGAAAAACTTATTATGTTATGTTAAAATTAATTCCCAAAAATTGAACTCTTGTTCTTATCAAACCGTTTCTTTCACCAGCCACTAAAACAATGTACCCTCCTATTTTTAATAAATGTCGTTTTGAGAAGTTGCACAATAATTAAGAATATTTTTTTTTACCAATAATAACCCTCATTAATAAGGATAAAGATGAATGTTTTGAGAAAAGATGAAGAGTGAATATGAAAAGACATAGTATATCTATTAGTTAGATGAAGATAATAATAGAAAACTATGTACAAAATAACCAAAACGATATTTTTTTAACAAAATGATCAATTAAGCTAGAATGACAAATAATAAAAATAGGAGAGAGTAGTATTTTTCTGTTAAATCATAAATAATTGCTAGTATTATTTATATTTCATCATTTTGTATTAAAAATTTATTAATTATTTCATCAGTTCTGTAACCAATAATTTTTTTTACTGAGTGAGAGTGGAAGCAGTCTTGAAGGTGGGGGAAAATTAAAGGTGGGTCACACAGTGAGTGTGTGTGAATTGGGTGGTCTGTTTGGTTGGTTGAGTTTTATTCTCTCCCTCTTCTCTGCTTTTTTTTTTTCCTTTCTCTTTCTGTGGAGGAGAGAGAACGCCATAACTCCACCATCACCACCTAAATTACACACACAACATTTTGCCCTTCCTCTTCCTCTCTCTCTCTCATCGCCTTTTTTTTTTCCAAACGATAGAACTCTCTCATCGCCTTTATTCTTCTCTTTTTTAACATTTTTCTTCTTATTATTCTCGTNTGAAGACGCGCCTGTTCATCGTGGTGTTCGTCAACATTCATGTTCTTTTTGTCAGCTTTTCATGTCTGCAAAGTTCGGCTAGCTTTACTTTGTTTTCCTTTTATTTAGCTGAACATAAGTAATAAAGCTATCTTTGTCCAGAATTTACATATGTGCGTGCGCGGGTGTGTGTGTGTGTGTGCGCGCGCGTGTGCGTGTGTGTGCATTTCAGGTGATCTGTCTCTAAAGATATTGTTAAGCTATCATTCGTCTGTGTTCTGTCAAGGTGGTGTAATATTTTGTATTGCCGTTAAGTATGCTGTGGGTTTTGGAACAGAAAGTGAGGCGCAAAAGTCATAATATATGACTGCTTAATTTTTTTGTTGTTTGAAAACGCAGAAAAGGGAGTGACACCTTTGCTCACTACAGTTTTTGTTTTGACACAATTAAGTTCTGTTAGCATGTGTAGCTCCCCTTGAAAATTTTGAATTTTCAGATCAGAACTTCTTCCCAGATGCGACATACGAGAGGCTGGAGCAGCTTGATAATGTATATCCTATAGGTCTAGGAAATTATTCGGGAAGCAATTATAGTGCAGTTAAATTTGTTAGCCAATTGTTAAAGTAGACTGCACTGGGTTTCCAAGTTGAAATCGGTTGCTAGTTTTGAGTGCTTTCTAGCAAAAATTACTCTATCTTCTGGAACTTAAGAAATTTCATGATGCTATGGGCCATTTTTCATTTTTATTTTTTCATATTTCTTGCTTAACTGATTGACTTTCAAATGATATTGATGATAATATAATTTCCTTCTCTATGTCTTCATACACCCTATAACTTATCTTCACTTACTCATATTTCTTTGCCCATTGAAGCTGAAATGCAAGATAATACTGCCTTTGCCTTCTAAGCTATTGTAAAGCGTTTCCTATTTTTTTTTTTCTTTTAATTTTCTTCTGAAGAATCATAGCATGGAATTGATTTCATACACATGTTGCCAATTAAAATCACATGATGAACCTTACCCATTTTTTCACCTGCACAATGCATTTAGAATACAGCTTTCGGACCATGATATTTTCACTTTCATTCTCTACTCCACTGCTCCATCATGTAGGTGATAAGTTTCTGTGATTATTTTCTTTGTGTCATGTATGCACGTGAACAAGGGTAAACAGGTGTCGAGAAATATGGATGATCCAAATCTCAGTTATATGCACTACCCAAGCTTCAGTTCCTGTTCATTTCCACTGTAATATCAACTTTTTTCTTGGGAATGTGATGCTAACTGCAAAGTTGACACTCGTGATAGCTTTATTCTAGGATGGTATTTAGTTTATTTTAATTTCCAGGTGGATCTTTTAAACTGATACTATCTAATCAGATGCTTTATGGCATATGAGCATGAGATCAAGGGAACAAATGGAATCTGGACCTTATCCAGTACGTGAAGGCGAACCGGATTGTTCGTATTACATTCGAACAGGTCTATGCAGATTTGGGACAACATGTAGATTTAACCACCCTCCTAACAGGAATCTGGTATGAGTTTTAGATATAAAGAACCAAACTGAAGTAGATTCCATCAACATTCTTTGGCCTGTGAACGTCTTCAGACTGTTATACCTTTTTATGTTTTTTGTCCATACACCTTACTTGATAAACTTTCTTAACTGTCATGTGTAGGCTATTGCCACGGCAAGGGTGAAAGGCGAGTATCCAGAACGAATAGGACAACCTGAATGTCAGGTCTGCACTCATTCTGCACTTGTCTCTGTTTGTCAGTCATCACAACTACATATATCTTGAAGTTTTTGATAATATTTTCAATGAATTTTAACAAGTTCATTAACATATATATGGAGGATACTCTTGAAGATCTAACTAATTGAAGAACATATGCTTGATTTTGGAAACAATCAAAGCTGCCCCCTAGTATAAGATTACACACCACATAATACCTCAATCTTATATTCATCACTACTTTTAAGCTAGTGAGCGGATATCCTCCATCCCGATGTCAGTGATCCTGAAAACATGGAAAAGATTGTCCTGCCATTTATCTCTTGAAACTCTAAATAGACAATTCTTTGGTTATATTATCAGCCTGGTCATGGTGACAAGCTGATGCAATGTCGAATGTTTTGAAGAAATTCTTAAGATAATGCAGATGAAATATTAGTTTTTTAGAAAGATTGATTGGACCAGAAGAACAAGAAAGAGGAAATGTTTAAGCAAAGAGATAACCATTAGTGATAGGTGCCATTTTGTCTTCCATTAAGTAATGTTAGAAGTTGCTATTGATGAATAGACTTCAGTTCTTTTGAGTATTTTCAAGACCAAAGGGATTTACAAGCATTCTTCATTAATAAATTATGCAATAGACAAAATCTGTTTCTATTTGTGTTTGAGTAACGTTAAGAGTTTACTTATCAGAAGGTGAAAGATGCTCTTGTGTTGGTTTACATATGTGTTTTCTGATGCATCATAGGCTTGTTGGCTTGTCATGGGAAGTTCTGATCTAGAGAATAATTTTGCAGCTTCATCTAAAATTTTGGGCTTCACTGTCTAACACTACATCGTGTCTGAAACCTGTTAATAGAATTTACACGGTCAATATTGCATTGGAGACCTAAATTTGAGTTGTCTGATTCCCCGGATTACCGGGCATGCATTTTCCTGGGGTGAAGGCATGCACATTAACGTACAAGTCGCCAAAGATTCTATGAGACTGATGAAAAAGTATAAATTCTTTCTAAGATTTTCTATACTAATTTTAGTTAGGGGGTACCAAATTCAAGTTTTTGGTTTTCTATGTCACAGTTAGTTTGCAATTTATTGTATCATATTATGGTTGGAGGATCATGTTGTATCATTTTGTTTTTGCCACTTATATTTACACAAGAAATATTTAATAGCCACTGTGTTCATCTGAACATTATGAACTCCTTTTTCTAGTATTACTTAAAAACGGGGACCTGCAAATACGGAGTCACGTGCAAGTATCATCATCCTAAAGACAAAGCCGGGATTGCTGGAAGAGTTGCATTAAATGTTTTGGGATATCCTCTTCGCCCGGTTTGCTCAATTTATCTCCCACTCAGTTATCTTACCTTTTCTTTGCATGCCACTTAGGTATTATCGTCTGTTTTAAAGTTGTGATCAACTATTGCATTAGATTATTAAATAGTTACTGCATTGACTATGTTTAGAATGTTGGCCATTAGTAATTGAGTGATGTTCATGAGCAGTAGCTTTCTCATCAATTTTCCGAGTACATCTTAAGACACACACACTTAGTCGTGAAAGAGTATATCAGCTTCAATATTGTGAGAGCCAGGTAGCTTCACAGGAAAGTGATGATTTAGTCAAATGCATGACATAAAGCAATTTGAACAAGAACAGTGAGCTATTGCCCACTGATATGTGGTCCAATTGACATAGGGTGCGAGAGTTATTGTTCGGCACCTATTCCCCCGACTGTATAAGGAACTAACCATGTGAACCACTCAGAAAACACATTGTTTAGCTATTAAATCCCTTCTCAGGGTTTTTTATTATTTGAGTTAGATCCACAAAGAAAATCATTTCATTATGTCATTTTGCATTTTGGTGAATCTGCACCTTGTAATTTAGTTCTACTTTTTTCTGGTTTGAACAGAATGAAACTGAATGTGCATACTATTTGAAAAACGGGATATGCAAATTTGGAAGCACTTGTAAATTCCATCATCCTCAGCCATCGAATATGATGGTTTCTTTACGTGGTTCTGCTGTATATCCCGCTATTCATTCTCCAACAAACAGCCAGCTGTCATATCCTTTATCGAGAGCTTCTTTTATAGCCGGTCCACGGTGGCAAAGCCCTTCAAGTTATGCACAGCTGGTTATGCCTCAAGGAATGGTATCTGTTCCAGGATGGAACACTTACAGTGTAATCTCTTTGACTCAGATGATTTTATTTCACCATGCCTCGATTTTTCCTTGATTATGTTGGGAACTTATTTTCTTTCCAACCTGATCATCATCTTTTTATCCCATTGTTGGCTCATTTTTTTAAAGCATACTGCTTCACCTTGATGGTTTTTTTGATTAAATGCACATACATCACTTGCCAACCTCAAACATTTCCTCATCTCGTGGTGGAATTAAAGAGGCATGGAGGAAAAGACATGCGATCATGTCAATAAGTGGATGTTTGGAATATCTGAGAATAGAATCAGCAGAAAGATTATTAGATTATTTGACTGGGATACCTTTCTGAAGACTTGGTTTAGCACTTGTACTAGAGTATTATGCCCTAGTTGATCATGTCAAATATTACACTTGGAATTAAGTCGCTTGGAGGAATGTATATTATATGCCTTTTCTTTTATTTAAACGTGAATACTGATTTTAGCAAACAGCTATACGTTCAAGTGGTTTGCTTAGATGACTCCGTAGATGACTGCCATTTCCTATGATGAAATTTGTAAACTGATGATTATGTAGCAGTGTTCTTTCCTTTTCTCAATTTCATCTCCTTTTGATCTGCTAATATGTACTCATACATATTCCATTGTGTTGATTACTGGAACATGATCTCCATACTAGGGCAGCTCTGTCGTGTTTTATGTGCGAGTCAAGTTAAGTAGATAAAATTCTGAAATTGCATGGTGGTGATTTATTTTCCAGGGTCAGATGAGTTCAGTTTTATCTTCGGAATTCCAAAATCCTACAACAGGAAACGACCAGGATGATGGCACATCGCCCCAGGATGAAACTGGAGGTGTGGGATCTCAATTTCATTCTCGTACTGTACCAATCGGGTATTATGCATATCAGGGAGACAACATATTTCCAGAGAGACCTGGTGAGCCAGAATGCCAGTTCTATATGAAGACAGGGGACTGCAAATTTGGTGCAGTGTGTAAATTTCACCATCCCAGCGAAAGACTTATCCCTGTTCCTGATTGTGTCTTGAGTCCAATTGGACTTCCTCTACGCCCGGTAAACAATTGAAGATGTATCTCCTAAGATCATTGCTTAGATATCTCTCTGTGGTTTACTAGTTTCCCCTTGCACTGCACTTGGCTGAGTAAAAAGTTAACTGATTTCTGCATTAATCCTTTTCCCCCCTGTTGCTAGGTTTATTCATTATCATCATCACCATCATCATCATCATATCATCACCATCATCATCATTNTGTTTTTTGTTGGTTAAGTCAAAAAGTGACAGTGCCCCCTCTAATTAACCAAAACAAAGAAATTAATATCGTAAATATTCAAATAAAAAGGTAACATGCCTATCCTCTCGGGACACCCAAAATAGTAACGTGTCCCATGTTTTTTGGGATGGATGGCCAAAATAGTAACGTGGCCCATGTTTTTTGGGATGGATGGAGTATTAGAGTGTGTTTATGAGTCTTGCAGTAAGATTTGCATACTGTGTTTATGAGTCTCTCAGTAAGATTTGCATACAACTTGTCTTAATGCTCTCAGTTGCTTCATATTTGTGGCAGAGGATGGAATAAATTGCTAGGTAGAACCCAAACGTAGTTTCTTATACCTTTCTTTTGTGGTTTGTTGGCATTAGGGAGAGCCACTATGTGTATTCTATTCCCGATATGGAATCTGCAAGTTTGGTCCAAGCTGCAAATTTGACCACCCTATGAGGGTTTTCTCATACAATGCGGCTGCGTCATCATCATCGACCGACTCCCCAGCCGTTCGTCATTTCTTGGCTTCATCATCATCAGGAAATGTGGCACTAAGTTTCTCAGCAGATGGACTTGCAGAAGCTGTCTCCACAAACAACAGACGATTATCTTTGTCTGAGCCTACTAGACAGAAATCCTCGGGTGACAATAACATTGACTCAGAGTGATAATATATATACACAAACCCAACTAAGTTATCGCCTTTTCCAATCTTTTAGATGCGCGGCAAATAAATGACAGCTTCGTGTAAATTCATTTCCGTTGCTGGACATGTACAGTGTTAAATTTCTGTCAATCCGTTCTTCTGAACGTTCTAGATTGACTTCCTTAAACTTGTTGAGTTGTATCAATTTTCAAATGTTGTCACATTTGTTAAAGGCAGCAGTGGATGTTCGGTCTTCTCTGAAAGCCATCTTCCTATCATTTTTGTATCACTTTGACATTCTTCTGGATATTTCCTTTCACAGCAGGCTCATGTAACACATCATTGGACTCTGGAAATACGACAGGATTGTTTCTCCTTTAAGGCATAATGATTATGTATGAACTCATAGTTGTGTAGAATAACATGTTATTTTCCTTGTTAATTTATGGTCATTAACAGGATTATCGCGGTCTATGAGCTCTCTTGTTGGACTCATTACACCAAGGTAAGGTTTTTTCCTAATAGCTAATGCATTTTACTTTAGTTTTGGTATTAGGGATGCAGAGGGAGCTTCTTCAGTAACTGCTAATGGTCAATTCAACCCTCCGATTTTCAAGTCAAAAGTAAAATTGTTTTTAGCTATCGGTTGCAACTGTTAGTCGAGTAAGTTTTGATGTTAGAAATCTTGAGGGAGCCTAATGATAAATTTGTTAATGTATCTATTAGCTTCTTTCGCTGCTTCTTGATGGAGATGATTTTAAAAAGAAAAAAGTACTGAGTCAACAATTAGACATTACAAAATTTCATAACTACAATGGATCATACTCATGTTTTTGCATTTGAATTTTCACTGAAGGTTCACTGAGTCAACAATTGATGGAGATGATTTTAAAAAGAAAAAGTACTGAGTCAATTCAACCCTCTGATTCTGGTTGTTATTTTGTGGAGCATCTTTGCTCTGAGTGTATATTTTCTATTCTGGTGATCCCTGAAACCTGAAAGGGATATGAATACGATCCTTGTTTTGTATTATGAATATCAGGAAAGAGCAAAGTATCTGGAAGTGAGGATGGTATTTTAAATGGGTAGATGAGGGTGCTAAGGTGTTGAAAGAAGATTTTTAAGGACATGAATGTAAGTGAATGGTGAGAAGGCTAGAGAGAAAATACCTGTGTCCAAAAGATTTCAAGGAGAAAAAAACAGACTATAAGCAGGTATTACTTTTCGTGAACTATTCCAAACTAATCGTGATTGTATCGTGTTGATATTTGTGTATCGGTGAACTTGTGCTCTTGTAATATATCAACTTAAACGTGATTTCAGGCTTGGACTCGTGTGTGGATCTGATGAGATGAGATGACTAGCTGTTTTGAGATGTCTTTGTTTGTTGGTTCAAAAAATTTTCTGCTGGGATCTCTGTCTTAAACCTGAAGTTGCGCAAGCTAATGCTTTTGTATAAAACTGCTATCGCCTTCCATGACATATGATGAATTGCATGAGCTGCTTCCCATATTACAGATAAAGCTTTGACGGATGTGTGTTAAGATATATGTAAGAAATACTACATCTTTAGCTGTCTGGAGCCAGCTCAATGAAAATCCTTATGGTATCCTTTTCATGTCTTGAAAAGATCCATTTAAGACATCATTGATGAATCACAATCTTATGCATTGACAGATATTGTCACTGAATTGTTTGGGGACGAGAATGCATCAACAAGATTTGATTATATCCAATGTGGAAAAATGGAATAGTTTCCAGAAAGTCTATTTTTTCGTTTTCTTCCATCATTTTTCTGATTATTGTGTCATTACTTCTTTTTCTTGCTAAACTACTTATCAAAGCCCGCCCATACAAATTGGCTGAACCAATGTTGTTTTGTTTTGTTTTGTTTCATTTGAATAACATGTAGAGCTAGAACAACTCGAATAAATAACATTGAGTTAACTGAACAATTTTCTCTTTAATAGCATGTTTAAAAAAAATGAAGTATTTTTAAATTGTAGATTTAAGTACATAAGATTAATTTCTCTGGTCAACTATATTTCCCATTTTTTTTTTTTGCAATATTTAAATTAATAAGAAGAAATAATATTTATTTTTTCATAAATTGTTAATGATTTTAAACACACACACACACACACATATATATATATATATATCTATATTTATGACAGACCTTTTATAGCTGAAGTTGTCCATATATTTTCTTCATTTCGTGGCTATCTAATTTGAGCCATTTTTTAAGGTTTTCGGCTAAAAGCACTATAAAATGTATTGTATTTGTTGACCACTTTTCAATATACATATCTTGTGTTTAAAAGGAACTTTTCACTCTTTATATAATATAGTAAAAAGAAAATAAATTCAGAAAATGCTTAATTCTTATAGTTAATGGAAATAAAGTGTGGGTCATCTGTATAAATTAATTACTTACATTAAAAATGATACTGAATACACAATTATTTTAAGGCACTATTGTAAATTATTAGTTGTGTTGGGAGTGAAGTCCGACCAAGATCTAGTGGTCAACCAAATGCTGCTGGAACATTTGCCTTATAAATTTATAATACTCTATTTTATTTTTTATCTTTCCGTTCTTTTTGGACCCACCCTCCACAATATTCATTTTAAAATCTAACTACGATTTGATTTTCCTTTTGCTTTTGCTATTTGCGCCTACTCTTCCATATCCATCATCTGTTCACACTTCGCACCATATATTTTTTTTGTTTTAAAAGAAAATAAAATTGCCAGCTCTTTGCTGTCACTCTCACTACTACTCTCTCTGTGTGTGTGAGAGAGAGAGTGAGGGAGAGACTTGTTCCTGGGTTGGCCTCCGCTGCCTATATACCCATTCAAATGATGAATTTTTTCATCTTCATTCTTCTCTTCCATAGATAGATAAAATAAAGAAAATGCAGAATTAATTTTACAGAAGTAAACTGCTTCTTGATTGTCGATCTCCCACCTTTTTTCTTACTCGCTCGTGTTATTTACCCCCTTTATTCCAAAATCACTTAATCTATGTGGGATAGGTAGTTAGATAGATAAAGATCCATTTTTTACATCCACCAATTTTCATTAATTCTCCTTAATTTCCCTTTCAAGAATCTCGTGGAAGAGAGAAAAGCTAAAGGAGATGCGTGCAATCGGGGTTTTCGGGCCCATGTTCATTTTGTTACTTAGCTTTGTTAGCCTCCATGAAGTTAGTTTATCTATGGTTAGTGTCTTTCTACAGATCCACTTATCAAATTAGCCTGATTTGATGGGAAAGAAGGGGTCTTGATGACATTCATGACATGAGTTTGTGTAAAAATGATTTCTTTATCTTGTAGGGAGACGGGTCGAGTATGTTACCGGTGGTGGAACTTGGAAATGTTAAGACGATGATAATGGTGGACGAGAGCAGAAGGAAATTGAGCAGCTTTGCGGTTTGTTCTACATGCATGTGTTGTGGAAGTGGAGGAGGCAGAAACTACTGTATGCTAACTGCCTGTTGCTACACAATCAATTGCAACATACCAAACAGGCCCTTTGGCTTATGTTCTTTCACACCCAAGACTTGTAATTGCTTCCAATGCCATATCTAGCCTCATGCTCTATCTAATTCTTTACTTGTTTATAATTATTGTGCCTGATGGACATCTATTTCCAGGTAATGTTCTCTTCTCTTTCTTTTTTGTGGATTTGGGATGGAACTTTGTTCCCTTGCACTTAACATGATTGGACTTATGGGTTTGATAGGAAAAGATGATTAGTAAGATTTTCTGGAGGTGGTAACTGGCAAGAACTAATCAGCTGGAAGCAGCAGTGGCTGAAGTGGATAATTTGTTCAAGGTTATGAAGTCCAAAACCATTGTCCTTTTTTATTCTTTTAACTTTTTTTGTACTCCTCGTTTTTTTTCCTTTCAGTTAAGATTGGGTGCTTCTTAATTTATTGTTTGATGGGTTCAAATTGCAATGGATAACCATCTTCCTAGTATGTGGGATGATAAATATTGCCATAATTTATTATAAGTGCAACATTGAGTGATTATGTTGCTTACAGATCACTCACTTATAGTTGGGGGTGTATTGTGATAGTGGACTTGTTTGATTTGTGGGACTGTGTTAGTGATGAGTGTGATGAAATTTGAGTTAATGATTTTCTTGGTCTTGATTTTTTATTGAGTTAAATGATGTATAATTAAGACTAATGTGGGGATGGAGTTATATTGATCATCAATCACAGGTACTTGTAAGGTTTTGGGCATTGGCATGGGTGAACCATAGTTGAGAATTTATGAAAGAGGACAAGTAAGGATAGTTGTAGTAGTAATAGTAGAGTAGTTGGCATTTAGAGGGTGGTCCATTTATCGACCAATTATGTGGACATCAACAGCTGTATCTAGTTTACTAGTGTTGTGTAGTAAATAGTAGTTGAATTTGGAGGCTTATCAATAAGAAAGATGGAACAATAATGGTGGTAGAAGATGATGATGATGATGATGGTGTTGGTGGGAAAAGTCCATCCTACCCCTGTGGTATTACCCACATGGGGTTTTCCACTGTTGGTTTCAACACACTCACACTTACCCAAGTTGGTACGTGTTGATCCAACGGTAAACAACTGCACGAATTTGCATATGATGGTGATGGACTAGTTAATAGTAGTAGTAGAGGCTAGAGCATGCTATTTCTTTTCATTTGCATATGATGATGGTGATGGACTAGTTAATAATAGTAGTAGAGGCTACAGCATACTATTTCTTTTCATTTGATGTGGGCAGTCTGGGAGAGAGGAGAAAATATATGTTTTGAATAATTTGTTCTAGTTTTTGTTTTTTTTTTCCCCTTGAAAAAAAAAATCTTTAGGGTGCCCCAATCTAACTGTAATGGCCTTATGGTTGGTACATTAATGGGAAGATTAAATTGGTTGGTGGGTAGCTGAGTGGTAGTTGAGATTAGAGAAGATAAAATTGAGCCTCCACAAATTTTTTTAATAAACAAATGGATAAAATGTGGATTGTTACAATTGACCTGTGCTCCTTTATCCTTTATTTCTTTAGTACCAAGAATAGATGGGATATCGGCCTTAACCAACTTTATTAGAATTTTTTATTTATTTAAAAATAAAAAAAAAGTGGACAAAAAAAAATGAGTGGAAAAAAATGAAAAGGCCGTATTACGTAAATCCGTTTTTTAATATGAAACGGATTATATGAATACGTTTTTTGAGCTAATACGTATTTTATAAATTCGTTTTTGTAATAAAAAATTAATTAAAGTAATAAACGTAATTAAGTTAATTAAAATATGGTAAAACGTATTATTTAAATACGTTTTAAGTAAAAAAAAAACGTATTAATCGAATACGTTTTATAACTAAAAATAATTATATATTTATTTTTTAATTATCAAACATATTCCAATAATACGTTTTATAAATAAAATTAATATTTACAATTTTGAAAACCAATTTTTCCAAAAATTAATAATTAAAAATGTAAAACGTATTTTCGAAATACGTTTTTTAACCCTAATTTTAGCCCCAAATTGATTTTGTCCTAATTTGAGCCTCAAATTGATTTTGCCATAATTTGCACAGTTCTTGAAATACGTTTTTCTAACAAAAAAAACAAAAACGTATTTTGAAAAAAATACGTTTTACTGTGCAGAAACATAAAAAATTACAAAAACACACCTGTTAATCGAGATCGATTCCACAACCAAATATTAATTACACAAGCTCATATCAATCCATTCGTGAAAGAAAAAAAATAAATATAAAAATCCAAATATTTTCAAATATCATTACACATAATCCACGAAGAAAGAAAAAAAATAAATATATATGTCCACAAAATTTCCGGAATACAACACAACTAACTAGGAGTGTATCGATTCGTAGGGTTCCGCGGTCGGGAGCTAACCCGACGCCGTGGTGGTCGTGAAGAAGATGATGTTGTGGGCGTGGTAGGTTCTTCTTCTTCTTCTTCTTCTTCTTCTTCTTCTTCTTCTTCTTCTTCAGCTGAGTAATTCATTGTTTTAAGATAGCAGAAATCTATCATTATATAAAAAGAATAACTTTTTTACAAATTTAGAAACCTTTTCCCGCCAAATCATTAAATATATCCTACATATAGTAATTGTTGGACAAATCTGAATAGACAAATAAATTGGCTCATTAATTGTGTAAAAATTTGTTTCTCTTTTTCCTGTTTTTTAGTTTATCAAAATCATTGTTTGACAATAAATATTTATTTTTCTTTTTCCTATTTTTAGTATAAATCTACACGAGCTTATCTCTTCTGTTACAAAATCCCATTGCATACGTCTCACGTGTTTAAAAAATTCTCATCCCTTATTTATACAAATTTAAAAAAATAAAATAAAATAGAAACCAATTCATAATTACTACTAGAAATCCATTATCTTTAAAAAGAAAAAATAAAATAAAATATAAACTAATTCATAATTACTACTAGAAATCCATTATCTACTTTAAGAAGCTAATTTTCATCGGTCTAATTACTAATATTTTTACAAATATTATAATATCTACTTTAAGAAGCTAATTTTCATCGGTCTAATTATTAATATTTTTACAAATATTATAATATCTACTTTAAGAAGCTAATAATTACTAATATTTTTACAAATATTATAAACTAATCATACAAAAAAAGTATAATAATAATTTTGAAATGGTGTGTAATCAAATTTTTTTATATTCTCTTATACATAATAATTTTACATTGTCTGACCCCGAATCTTTAATTTATAATTATTAAGTATTGTTTATCCTCCTCTTTAATTTATAATTATTATTTTTTCTTCCTCTTTTTAAATAGGATCAATAGTAGTTTCCACTTCCGCTATTGAGTGACTCAAACTCGAGGTCTATTTATAATATTGTTAATTTAATATTGTTCCCGTGCATCGCACGGGGTACACACTAGTTCGACTTAACAAAAATCACAAAAAATAAATAAAATTATATTTTTGTGTTAAGTTAAAAAATTTCACCTTCTTCTTCTTCTTCTTCCTGAGGCACGGGGTCGGCAGCGGGTTGGCGGTCGCGTCGTCTTCTACCTCCACCAATGTTAGGAGCAGGTCGATGCCTCGCCCCGTGTGACTGCGTCCTCTGGGATCGGACGTAGCTCTCCTGCGAGAGAACTTGGCTCGACGACGTCCCTTGTGCGACGTCTCCGCATCTGACAGCTAGAGAACTGTATAGAAAGCTCTTGGCCTGTTGGAATGCCGCCAACACATCTGGATGGAGTGTATGATGTAGGTGGTCCACGTTAGATAACGTGTGAAAAGCACCCTCCATGGCGGTAGCCTGAAAATTAAATTCAAAGTCAATTATAATGAAACAAAAATAATAATAATAATAATAATAATAATAATAATAATAAAAACACACAAATATATATTACTTACATCGCACTTTTCCTGCTCGGCAAGTGGGTGAAAGCCTCTGTCCAGTTGGGCCACCGCGTACTTGCCAGGGTCACCGAGTAGTCTCACAGTGGTACTGTGAAACCAATCAAGGTAACCCGGCTCAGGCTCAATGAATAGCTCCACTGCTTGGGCTGGGACAACATTTTCGTCTCTATGTTCGACCCAAGCCTTCCCAAACTCTCCGTGAAAGGCGACCCAATCAAAAACTGGCCTCCCAGTCATCCTCTGGCCTCGATGGTGTAACCGATATTCGGTCTCAGTCGTAAGGATAGGAGGCTCGGGGGTGGACTGCCGGCACCCGAACTGACGGAGGACCCTATCAGGCAGGTGGAGTTCACGGACGTTCCAGTTGAAGATCCACCCCCTGTACATCCAGAGGTGTGAACCTTCTGTACACTGGGCCGGGAGAACATTCGCTTAGCCATTCGAACTGAAAAAAAAAATATACAAAAAAAAAAATTAGGAATTAAGTTATAAAAAAATTAAAACAAAGAACAAATAAAAATAATAATAATAATCTTACATCCGCCTCTGTGAGCCCTGTCAATTGATCCCGGGTGGTGGCTGTTCCCTTGCCCAGGTGTGTCGTGCCCCTCCTTCCCATCCACCTTAAAAATCACAGTAAAAAAAAACAATTTGTAATCACAAAATTTGATAGTGGAAATAATCTAAGGAAAAATGACAAATTAAATTTTATTACCTTGCACCTAAGGGACAAGCAGGGACTCTCTCAAAGTTCGTATCCCTCATTCTTGGGCGAATACGAGGGATACGTTCATATGCCCAAACCTACACATATCGACATATTCATTTGTTATTAGATATTAGTCTAAATTAGAATAAAAAAAATGAATTTTCAAATAAGAAGCAAATAAATTTACCTGAATCAATTGGACACAGTTCTTGATCCAGCTTTCCCCGGACCTGGCGCTCATGCAGAGCGCTCTGTACACTCCGGCCAGGACCGCCGAACCCCAGCTGTACGTCTTGATCAGATCGATGTCGTGCAAAAGCTGCAACCAGTAGAGGTTCATCCATTGCCCCTCTGGTCGGGGAAGAAGAAGGAACCGATGCACCAGAGTATAAGGGCCTTCGCCCTCGCCTCGTAGGTGGGGATAGGCTCCACATCGGTTAGCTCTCTGTTGCACTCGTCTTCTAACGCATAGACCTTCAAATACTGGCCATGAATGGCCCAAGTCTTGGGGTCTTGGACCGGTTCGTCGGGATCCTGAGAGTGGTTTATATATATTAAAAATTAATGAATTGAGTAAACATAAATAAAATTAAAAACAAAAAAACAAAATTGTAAGAAAAAAAATTTACCTGAACATAGGGCTCGAACCCTAGGTAACCATTACAAATTTCTTGCCATTTATATACTGTGTTATCTTGAGTCGCTCCCCAACAAGGCTCTCCATCGATCGGGAGACCAAAAAGGACTTGTACGTCCTGCAGCGTGATGGTGGCCTCCCCGAAGTCAAAGTGGAAGGTATGCGTCTCCGGTCGCCACCTTTCCACCAGACACGTGACGAGGCTGTTGTCGGTCATAACTCTGCCCATTCGAAACATCGGGCCAAACCCCATCTTCTCGATGGCATCCCAAACTCTGGGATGCTGGCGATCCAACGCCTTCCAGAACTGAGTGTCGAAACGGCGGGGTTTAATGACGCCGTCACGACATCCGCATTTATCTTCGAACAAATCACTCGACCGGTGGCAGTACTGAAGATATAGAGCGGACGGATCCCTCGGACCGGGATGTACATTGTAGCGCTGCGGTTGTGAGGACGACGAAGATGCCATTTTCTGCAAAAAAAAAAAAACAATAATTATATACTACATAAATTAAATCATTATATACTACAATCAATAATACAATCATATTCAATAAAAAAAAATCACAAAAACACAAATAAATTAAGTAAACAATAAATTCACAAATTCAAAAATCATATACACAATAAATCGAAAATAATCTCTAATCGACAGTTCGACTCCAACATTTCAACTTGCGACAAAATAATCCCTAAACATATTATATAAAT